GTATTTGTGAGTCGTATTATTGTTTAACAGTGTGTGTCTTTGCTCTTCAGGACTGACAGTTCCTAGAAAGGATGGAGAGCTTACTCCTTAATATGATAGCCTGCCTCAGGTAATTGCTCGACAGCACAGTTAAGATAGATATCTGGCAGTAAGAGAAGCTCAGTGTCATTGAAAATGTTCTTTTAGTGCCCAGTGGCACACAGCATACATTTGTTCAGTTGCATTAATGTAGTTCTTGGATCAGGTAGGGTTAAGCAACAGCAAGTAAGTACTATAGGTCCTGATTGTCATTTACACTAAGGACCCCTTATACCGCCCTGGCAATGTAAAAAGGGCTTTAAAATGAGTGTAAACACTGTTTATAGTCACTGTTAGGCCCCTTTTCATTGCCAGAGAGATATAAAGGGGGTTTAGTGTAAATGATTAGTAGGCCCAATCATCGAATCATAGAACTATAGAGCTGAAAGAGACATCCAGAAGTCATCAAATCCAGTTCCCTGCACTGAGGCAGGACCAAGTAAGCCTAGAGTATCCCCGACAGGTGTTTGTCCAACCTGTTCTTAGAACCTCCAGTGATGGAGATTCCACAACCTCCCTTGGAAGCTTATTCCAGAGTTTAACTACACTTGTAGTTGGAATTTTTTCCTAATCTCTAACCTAAATCCCCCTTGCTGCAGATTAAGCCCCTTCTTGTCCTAATTTTAATGGAGTGGAGAACAATTAATCACATTCCTCTTTATAACAGCCCTTAATGCATTTAAAGACTGTTATGAGGTTCCCCCCAGCCCCACCCTTCAGTCTTCTTTTCTCAGACTAAACATGCCCTGTTTTTTAACCTTTCCTTATAGGTCAGGTTTTCTAACCTTTCATCATTTTTGTTGCTCTCCTCTGGACACTCTGATTTGTCCACAGCTTTCCTAAAGTGTGGTGTCCAGAACTGGACACAGTATTCCAGCTGAGGCCTCTCCAGTACCGAATAGAGCAGTACAATTATCTCCCATGTCTAATGTACAGTGCTCCTATTAATACACCCCAGAATGATACTAGCCTTGTCACAGTTTCATCACATTGTTGATTTATAGCCACCTAGCCAATTATTCCACATTTTGAAGTTGTGCATCTGATTTTTCCTTCCTAACTTCAATACTTCGCACTTATCTTTATTGAATTTCATTTTGTTGAATTAAGACCAATTCTTCAATTTGCCAAGATCATTTTGAATTCCAATCCTATCTTACAAAGTGCTTGCAACCCCTCCCAGCTTGCTGTCATCTGCATGTTTTGTTAAGCATACTCTCTACTCCATTATTCAAGTCATTAATGAAAAAATAGAATAGTACCAGATACAGGACTGACTCCTGCAGGTCCCTGCTAGATGCATCCCCCCAATTTGACAGTGTATCTCTAGGGGTCAAATTCACCTCTGTGCAGAAAGCCACACCAAAGTTTACTAACCACTTAAGAACCACTTAATCCCTAAAAAGAGAGATTAAGTGGAATATAAGTGGTTCTTAGGCACAGTGATAGTCCTCTGTACAGGGGTGAATTTCACTTGAGGGTTAAAGATCACATGTGTTTTGTGTGATGATTCTGCATTGTGGATGTAGCATGAATTATTCTTCTCTCACAGAGTGGTTTGACAATGGTTGTAACTCCATTAGGCCAGATGGTAATGTCACTTGCACCAGTGTAAATCTGGAAGTGGCACCATTAAAGTCAGTGGAGTTGCATCAGTGTGAGAGAGATCAGAATCAGGCCTATTGACTTCAGGGAGGTTACTGTAGATTTACACTGGTGTAAGTGAGAAAAGAATCAGGCCCAGAGAGCAATGCTGCCAACTTTTGTGATTTTTATCACAAGTCTTCTGCTATTTGGTGGTGTTTTTCTTAAATCTCCATCTCCTGGAGTCATATGATTACATGAGACTCTCAACTTCCTCTGTTATAAAAAAAAAAAAAAGTTTCAAGTCCTCATGGTTGGAGAGAAAAGCTTAAAAATGTGAACCATTAAAACCTGAAGTCAAATAAAAAGACCCCAGATTCATTTATTTTTTTTAAATGTCATGATTTTCGGGGGATACTCGACATGAGAATTTTGAATGCTTGCAGAGTCAAATACATAGCAACCCACATGCTTTATACAAAGGACTCTGGTGCTCACCACTGGTCACCCCTATAAACGCTTCTTTAACTAGTATGACAGCTACAGCACTGATAGGCATCTGCGCTGACTGCAGAGTCATTGTTCAAGGTCGTTCATGAGAGTTGATTCTAGACACGGAAGTTGAAACTAGACAAAATCAGACTATAGAAATAAAAGGTGTACATTTTTAGCTGTCAGGGTAATTAATCATTGAAACAACTTACCATGGGTTGTGGTATATTTTCCATCACTGGCAATTTTTGAAGCAAGAATGAATTTCTCCACCTCTAAAAGATATGTCCTAGTTCAAACAGGAATCAATTCAGGGAAGTCCTACGACCTGTTGTATGCAGAAGGTCAGAATAGATGATCAAAGTGGCCTCTTCTGGCTTTTTAAACTATGACACACCAAGAATTGGGGACAGCAGCATTTCTGTGTCCCTGTATAAAAACAAATGTCTGTAGTATTCTATACTAATGGTCCAAACCATGACAGATTACAGTAATACAGCTACATTTTATGGGGCCAGGGCTGTCGAACTTTGAAATCAGGGTCCCTAGCCTAGCAAATCTGGTTATTTCTTTCAATGCACAGTTGAAATAGTAGGCTGCCAGGTCTTCCAATGCCTCAGGGCACTAGAGAGGAGATGTTTGGAGAAGCAATTCAGCATTCCAGATTCTTTCCTTGTTAAAGTAGGTCTGTGATCTGCAGGGTCTTTCTGGTGGCTCTAAGCCACAATGCTGTTTACACGGCTTGTATCAGTGTGCTGATCTTTTCTCAACCTTTTAGTGTTTAATTATGCAGTCCTTTAACACAAACATAAACATCACAAAGGGATGTCATAAACCCTGCTGGCAGCAAAGTACACAAGAATGTAACCGCACCATTATTAAAAAGACTTTTATCCCCACAGTGCACTCTGTGGGATTTTGCCAGTTAAGTTTTTCAAATTCTTGTGAATGTGGGTTGTTTCCCCCCTCATGGCATCATGCAGGGGAACAGTTCTAGGGCACTCGCTCTTTTTAGATCCTCTAGGGCCAATGGCTGCCTTGTTAGCTATTATAATGACTGACATTTATTGAGTACTTTGACCCCAAACTCTGTAGAGGAGGAAGGACTGGTTGAGTGGCTAGGGTGCTAGACTGGGCTTCCGAAGATCCAGTTTTAATTCCCTGCTTTGCCACAGACTGCCTGCAACATCTCGGGCATGTCCTTTAGTGTCCCTGCTTCCCGTCTGTAAAATGAGTGTAATTGCACTCCCCTACCTCAGAGGGGTATTATGAAGGTTAAATTTACTAAAGGGTTACACACTTTGTTGCATCTGTACGCTGAGCACATTGCATACACCAGGAGCCCTTGCACTTCTCCATTCCCTGTGTGTCACCCTCCAATCCCCATCTATTTCAGGGAGTCTCTTAACCCCCTCCAGCATGTGACCATGTGCCAGGGGTTGTGTGCGTCTGCCTCCTTTTGTACCATTGGCCTCCATTTGCCCCACATGTGGCAAGGGCTCTGTGTGGCCCCCTCCCCCCCATATCCTTAGGAATGAGAGGGTATTTGAGTCTCCAGGCCCATTCATTCCTAACACTCTATGTTCGGACTGCCAACGAGGATGCGAGTTGGGGTGCTCTCTGTGATCTGGATAGTTGTCCATTAGGACCTGGATAGAGAATGCATCTCGGGGGGTGTTTACACAGCATTTTGGAGAGAGCCTCCCAGCGTGGGTTGATGGACATAGGCTAGTGCTCTAGAAATAGCTCTTTAGACAGTGCTTTGAAATTGCGGTTCTAGCTGGATCTGGGGCTCTGAAGCCCACCCCCGTCTTTAAGCTGCAGAGCGTGAGCTCCAGCCCAAGCTGCAACTTCAGAACGCTGTCTGTAGAGTTATTTGTAGAGCACTAACGCAAGCCTGCTAGCCCAAGTCTGTCACCCTGGGAGTCTCGCTCCAAAATGCTACATAAACATACCCTTCTAGGCCAAAAAACAGCCATCACCTGGCCACTACCAGCCTGGGGTGGATTCACATCAGCTTCCTAGAGGCTAAAGTTTCTGTAGCCATTATCGATACTAGGACCTTGGCTTAATGATGCCTGAAGGAAGATCCCTTTAGGATAGTCATAAGGCACTTTGTAGGGAGAGTGCTTGTAATATGCCCGCTGGCTCCAAGATGAGCAGAGTTAAGCCAGTGCAGAATGGTTTGGGAATTCCCATTCTTAGATTCTGCAGCGATGGGCACTGGAGGCAAAACGCTCATCTGGCAGGCATAAATAAAGGGCTTCAGTCCCCAGAGGTGCCAGGTTGGACTAAATTCACACAAATATTTAAAAATAAGTACATGTATGTAACAAGCAGGAGAGACAGTGTGATTCAGTGGACAGGACACTGGATGAGTCTCCAGAGCCCTAGTGTATTCCTCTGACTCTAGCATGCTGTTTGACCTTTGGAAAATCTCTTAATCTCTCTGGTTTTGCTTCCCCTTTGTTTGCCTTGACTATTTAGACTGTAATCTCTTGGAGGGACTGTCTCTTACCATGTGTATGTACCATGTCTTGCATAACAGGGTCTAGTCTTGGCCAGGACGTCTAAGCGTTGCTATTGTACTACTCCCCCTAACTCTTTATCCAACAAGGATTTGGGGAATAATTGTCGGATATTTCTATGTGCCTGATATGATTGAGCTAGTCAAGAACACTGAACCAAATAAGAAAGCAGTTCAGTTACTTGCTATCTGCCTTTCCAAATACTCCAGGTTCCCACAAGAGTCATGTTGTGATTGCATGAGATTGCATCCTGATGCTGAATGTTTCCAAATTTTCTCTAGCATTTTGAACTTCTAAACTCTCCTTTCCTTTCAACAGTGACCGAGAGTCGAGGCATCCTGGAGAGTATACAGAGATTTTCTTTGCTGCCAACTTATCTGCCTGTGAGCTATCATATCCACAATGCGGATGTTTCCTTCTTTCTTAAGGAAGCCAACCAGGATATCATGAGGAACTCTAGTTTGCAATCCCGGGTGGAGTCCTTCCTAATCTATAAATCCAAGAGGCCACCTGTATTAAATGCCAGCTATGGACCCTTTTCCATTGAACAAATAGTGCCGCAGGACCTAATGTTGTCTTCAAATCCATTTGGATCCATCAACAAGTTTTCCTTTAATTGGAAACTCAAAGCCTACATCTTGAGTGACAAAATTTATCTGAGGAAGCCCAAAGTCCAGATCCTTTTCTACGTTGTGGGCAGGGACTGGGATGACTACAGTACCACAGAGAGGCTGCCTTGCCTGCGGGTGTTTGCCTTCCGCGAGACGAGGGAAGTCCGAGGCAGCTGCAGGCTGAAGGGGGATCTGGGATTGTGCGTGGCAGAGCTGGAACTCCTGCCGAGCTGGTTTAACCCCCCCACAGTCATGGCCGGCCGCAAGAAAGCGACAGATCAGTCTGAAGGGAGCCCTGTGGAACTTTACTACACCATCCAGCCGGGGGATGAGACCGGGGAGTGCAGTAAGGAGGACGTAAGGAAAAGTAATGGGATCAGACTGGGAGGGAACGATATTGATGAATCAGTACCTCCTTTGCAGAGAATTGGAAGTGTTTTCCTTTACCAGACATATGGTGGCCCTTCCTTAAGTGAAATGAGGTTGGATAACAACATCGCCATCCAATATATACCAAAGACTGTCAAACAAGGTGATATTTTGACTTTCCTTGTGTCTATCAATAAAAATTCAACGGAGGACCAGTTCACACTGAGGTAAATTCTTTCTAAATTCCTCTATTAAACTGAAAATCAGATGGCAGGGGTTTTTGTTGTTGCTATTGTTGGCTTTTGTTGTATAGGAAGTCACTTTTGCAAGGGTAAATTGATGGTTGCTTTCCAAGAATTTCTGCTTTATAGATGAGATTTAAACAGTGTTTGTTTGTTTGTTTTTCAATCTAGCAAATGTTGCCTTCTTCCTTTTCTATTATCCAGTCAAATATAGAGTGACCTGGCTGAGGAACAGTCTCTGTATGAGAGGCCGGCTGCCTTTGAGCAACTTCTGAGTAGTACAAATGGGACATTTGAGAGCCATTTACTTGTCAGTAGGAGAAACTGCACATTTTCGCCTGTCCTGGAGCTTGCAGAGCTCCTAGAGCAGTGATACTCAGACTGTCTGAGGAGGGCTCTGTCTGAGGAGGGCTCTGTCTCCTGTGGCTCTTTGCAGCACATGATATTAAAACACTATGTGATTTAATTATTAACCAATCATGATGCTTTAAGTAGCTTATCAACCAATTGTAGAATACTTGGTCAGTCATTTTGCTGTGAGGAAAAAAAATGTAATGAATAGTAAATGAAACAATAAATTCACATGACTGTGGCTCTTTTGGGTAATGTTGATCGCTAATTTGGCTCCTGAATAACTGAGGTCTGAGTATCACTGTCCCAGACATAACTTGATCTGTCATTAGAGCCTCTCGTTAAAATGACTACATGCCCCCCAACCCTGCCTGGCCTGTAAACCCTATTAGGTTGTTTAAGATTGTCTTTTCAGGAATCCCAAACATCCCATGATTAAAATAAAATATTTTTTTTCCTCAACCCAAGTGAGAAGTTCCTTAGTTTTAACGAAAACTGAAGCTTGCAGTGCACCATCGCTCTGTTGTACTTGATTGCTTCTTTGGCAGCCCAGAATTTCAGGTCATACCATAGCAAACTTGGAGTGCTTAGAGTGCTTAGAGAGGAAATTTAATCAGAAGGCTTCAGTGGACAGTAAATTCGCACTACATGCAAGTGACGTTCTCCCCAGTGGATTCTCTAGTTTCAAGCTTGTCACTCCCTCTGTACCAACAGCTTGAACTACCATGGAAGAGAGGTGCACAGGGCTAATTTCAGTCTATTATTCCCTACCAATGTGTGATGTCACTTCTCTTAGTGACAGGTTTCAGAGTGGTAGCCGTGTTAGTCTGTATCAGCAAAAAAAATGAGGAGTACTTGTAGCACCTTAGAGACTAACAAATTTATTTGGGCATAAGCTTTCGTGGGCTAAAACCCACTTCATTGGATGCATGCAGTGGAAACTACAGTAGGAAGATATATATTCACAGAGAACATGAAAAAATGGGTGTTGCCATGCCAACTGTAACAAGACTAATCAATTAAGGAGGACTATTATCAGCAGGAGAAAACAAACTTTTGTAGTGATAATCAGGATGGCCCATTTCAAACAGTTGACAGGAAGGTGTGAGTAACAGTAGGGGAAAAATTAGCATGGGGAAATAGCTTTTACTTTTTGTAATGACCCATCCTCTCCCAGTCTTTATTTAAGCCTAATTTAATGGTGTCCAGTTTGCAAATTAATTCCAATTCTGCAGTTTCTCATTGGAATCTGTTTCTGAAGTTTTTTTGTTGAAGAATTACGACCTTTAGGTCTGAAATTGAGTGAACAAGGAGGTTGAAGTGTTCTCTGACTGGTTTTTTAATGTTATAATTCTTGATGTCTGATTTGTGTCCATTTTATTCTTTTGCGTAGAGATTGTCCTGTTTGGCCAACGTACATGGCAGAGGGGCATTTCTGGCACATGATGGCATATATCATGTAGATGTGCAGGTGAACGAGCCTCTGATGGTGTGGCTGATGTGATTAGGGTCTATGATGGTGTCCCTTGAATAGATATGTGGACACAGTTGGCAACGGGCTTTGTTGCAAGGATAGGTTCCTGGGTTAGTGGTTCTGTTGTGTGGTGTGTGGTTGCTGGTGAGTATTTGCTTCAGGTTGGAGAACTGTCAGTAAGTGAGGACTGGCCTGTCTCCCAGGGTCTGTGAGAGTGATGGGTTGTCCTTCAGGATTGGTTGTAGATCCTTGATGATCTGCTGGAGAGGTTTTAGTTGGGGGCTGAAGGTGACGGCTAGTGGCGTTCTGTTACTTTCTGTGTTGGGCCTGTCCTGGAGTAGGTGACTTCTGGAAATTCTTCTGGCTCTGTCAATCTGTTTGTTCACTTCAGCAGGTGGGTATTGTAGTTGTAAGAATGCTTGATAGAGATCTTGTAGGTGTTTGTCTCTGAGGGATTGGAGCAAATGTGGTTGTATCTTAGAGCTTGGCTTTGGACAATGGATCGTATGATGTGGTCTGGATGAAAGCTGGAGGCATGTAGGTAAATATAGCAGTCAGTAGGTTTCCGGTATAAGGTGGTGTTTATGCGACCATTGCTTATTAGCACCGTAGTGTCCAGGAAGTGGATCTCTTGTGTGGACTGGTCCAGGCTGAGGTTGATGGTGGGATGGAAATTATTGAAATCATGGTGGAATTCCTCAAGGGCTTCTTTTCCATGGGTCCAGATGATGAAGATGTCATTAATGTAGCGTAAGTAGAGTAGGGGCGCTAGGGGATGAGAGCTGAGGAAGCTGTTCTAAGTCAACCATAAAAATGTTGTCATACTGTGGGGCCATGTGGGTACCCATGCAGTGCCGCTGACTTGAAGGTATACATTGTATCTCTTAGTGTTGGAAGTAAATGTCATAGTCTATAGTCCCAGACTTCTGAGACTGAATACCTAAGACTGTGCTCTGTGATGTGTCTTTCTGGGCATGCTGTAGAGATGAGCTGCAGCACACAGATTCAGGGAACATTCAAGCACTGTGCCTCCATATGAGAAGATACCTCTGTCTTGGCAAGCAGTTTACTGTCCACTGTAACAAATATCTTAGGCAGATACTCCATAGTCAGCAGCTTCTCTGCAAGGTAGAAACATTGGGCATAGAACTCAGCACCTTCTACTCCAAAAACACTTTCCAAAGCCATAGTACTCTGACTTGAGGTAAAAAGAAACCTCCATTCTCTGCCAGTTGTATTAACTTGAACCCCAAATTCTCTGTCTAAAGCCACCTCCGCTGCTCAGAAATCTGAATTATAAACCAGCACAAGGCTGAAATGGGTCCTGATCTCCCAAAGTGAGGAAATATTGGGCCTGATTCTTCATTCAGTTACGCAGGTTTAATTCCACTGAAATCAATGGAGTAGTGCCAGTGTAAAAGTGGTGGGCGTTAAGGACAGGGCGTGTTATTTTTCTGCCACCAAATGAGATTATTTTCCTTCTCGAAGAGTGCAAGATACGGACTGGGTGAGCTAGGTGGCTTCTGCTGTCTGACACTGTAAAATTGCTCTTTCTCCTCTGTATATGCTGGTTAAAGCTGGTATTTGGTAAGTGTGACTAGGACATCCAGTAACTCCTTACAGTACCTACCATTTGTTGAAAACATCATACGTTTTCTGAGACCAAAAGGAAGCAGTCTGGATCTTGGGCAGATTAACTAATCCATGAGCTGTTAACAGAGAGGGAGTTTGCATTCTTTACAGACAGAAAAGGAGGACTTGTAGCACCTTAGAGACTAACAAATTTGTTTGAGCATAAGCTTTCGTGAGCTACAGCTCACTTCATCGGATGCATCAGATGAAGTGAGCTGTAGCTCACGAAAGCTTATGCTCAAATAAATTATAGTCTCTAAGGTGTCACAAGTCCTCCTTTTTTTTTTTTCCTGCGAATACAGACTAACACGGCTGCTACTCTGAAATCTTTACAGACAATAATTCATTACCCACTCATCTCTAGTAATTTGTGTACTTGTGATTTTAGGAGAATATGACTTCAGACACGCATGGAAATTACTACTATGCTTGAAAATTGGTTTAATTATAAAGATTATAGATCTTTTCAGTCTAAAGGAGAATAAATACAACCACTTTTTCTTAATTGTGTTTACATTGAGAATTTAGGGCCTAAAAAGTTGACATTGAAGCACTTATGTGCTAATTAACTGTGATCATTAAAAAGTAGAGCTGGCCGGAGGATGACAATTCATGACGGATTTTTAAATCTGGCTTTGTTTTTCATATGAATGAAATGCAAAAACTTCAGAATTCTGGGGAAAAAATTGTTAGCATTGATTGAAATGCTTGGTTTTGTGTTTGTTTTATAATAAAACACAAAATTAGAAAAAAAATCATTTCAAAACAAAGATATCAAAATGGGACGTTTTGGCATTATTATAATTTTTTGAAAAACAATTTTTTTTGCCAAAATCATGTTGATTTCATGAAGCATTTCAATGGAACTGTATTTCCTTTGAAAAACGATCCTATTGAAGTTTTTCCAGTTAGTGCTACTTAAAAGAAAGGCCTGCTGTAGTAGCAAAGTGGTTAAATGTATTTCTGAAGCATCTCTGCCTCTCTGTCTCTAATTTAGCTACCATAGTTCTAATTTATTTTTTTTAATATCTCCATCATCACAGTAGTATCTAAGTTCCCCTTTTGCCCCTCAATGAAATACATGTAGCTAACTCAGAGTTTGGGGAACTGCTGTTTGTGTATGTCTTGTGGCATAGGTCAGCAAGCAACCACTAGAGGACGGTGAAGAAAGGACAAATTCTGAGGTCTATTCATTAGTTCTGGGGAGAGTCACCCCTGTGTCAAGGACTAGCATAACCCCAGTTGTTGAGTGGGGAATAGTGCTTGGTTGCTAGCCCTCTGCACAGGAGTGAATTTCACCATCTGTGGTTACCCCTTGGAGTAGCGTAGCAACATTTACCACAGGCATTTTTCTGTTTGTAATATAATTTTGGGGAGGAGAGGGGAGAACTGAGGCAAAGATTTACAAAGATGCCGATGGCTCTGGTGTCCAATTCCTTTTGGACCGGGCCTGCAGTTCCCGCATGTGGCTTTGAAAATCCTACCCTGAGCATTCAGACACACTAAGGGTCCCACTGTGAGATGGCGT